GGTGCTCTTGACACCGTGCAAGCCACAGATTGGACAGATTTCTTCTTGGTCGGTCGCTCCTCGGCGCGTTCTTCCCGACCTCGCTTCTTGGGCGACCCCCTGCTGCTCTTTGTCTCCACATCAGCTGATCCAGACCTCTCACGTCTCAATTTGTTCCTGGGTGACGACTCCCGCGTCTTACGCTCCTTCTCCTCAACTACTCTTCTACAGGCGCCCGTTTCTTTGGTGGCTCGCTTCTCCTTCTTAGGTGGTGTTGGACTCCTTTCGCGTCTGTTCCCACCTGTCTCTCTCTCTCTGACGCTTGGACTTCTCGATGTCCTCGCAGGTTTCTCCCTTGATGTCTGCTTACTCTCCTACGTATTCTGGGTGGCAGTCTCGGTAGTGGTACCGTAGATTATCTCTTCGGTTATTCTTGTGCGCACATCGTCGGCACCTATAATAGTCTCTCGGGCCGTGCTCATTGGTTAGGTGCCTGGTCAGGCTGCGCTGGTGCAGAAATGCCTCACCACACCTTTTGCACCTGAATGTATCTCCTCTTGGAGCCTTGTCGTCCACTCCGTCTTTTCCTATCGTCAATCTGCAACATACAAGGTTGTTTTGTTCAACACTTATATCCCAGGATAATTTCTTATTTCTATATACATGCGGTGCCCCCTCACACCGAGGTCCCTCCTGTCCCTCCAACTACAGGTACCGCTGGGGTCTCCTGCGTTGCCTTTGGGGGTTTCGCCTCAACGCTTGGGTGGGGCTTGCATCTACTTGCGCTGGCACGTTTCTGGACCGCTCCTCCTCGGGTGCCACTGTTTCTCCTATCTCAGTTGACACAGCAGAGCCATCTTTATCTTGCTCATCAGCCAATTCTTCAGCCGCGCCTAGCTCAGGCCCAACGGCAATAGATTCTTCCCTTTGTGTCGTTTGTTTTGGGTTTCGTGCTACGGGTGTTTCCTTCGCTCAGCACACCTCAGGTGTCTCACCCTCGTAAGGTTTAAGCTGTTCAAAATGAACGACTTCCTTCTTTCCCCTGGGCTTGCGTTGTATCCGATAGGTGACGTCGAACAACTTGTCAACGATCAGGTATGGCCCGTCCCAGCGCCTTTGAAGTTTCGGGGACAAGCCTTTCTTCTTTCTTGGATTGTGAAGTCATACTAATTGTCCTGCCTCCAGCATCGTTGTAATTGCCCTCCTATCATAGCCCCTTGTCTGCTTTCTGGCACTCGATTTTAAGTGCTCTCGCCCGCTCCAGACCCAGGCTCAGCCCTGTCGATCACAAGGGCTTATCCAGGACTCCAGGTCAACACATTATCTGTATTATACAGTGCTGTGGCCAACCACAAGCTTCCACACACATTGCCAAGTACCCCAGACATTGGCCTGATACATTTTCCGAAGGGTGAAAGGACTGTTTTAGAGGGGGTAGGTATTGCGTGTATTATAATACAGCAGTGTTTTGTGCACAAACATATGGGAATGGTATGACCCCCCATTTTAGTCACTGCCAGGGCGATACCAAGATTGACACCCCTCTCAAGAGTTAGGCGGGGAAAAGTTTGGAAAAGTCACGGGAGTTCGATCAGGTGAGGCGTGGCAGTTATATTTGAACGATCAAATCACGTGATTTCTGAGACATTCTTGGCACAAGGTCCCGCGTCGTTTAACCAGGTAATGGAGGGAGAGAAATGCCCCATTTGTGATTACCCCAAAAGGCCTTTTACGTGCATTATCTTTATTTCAGATTGAAATGAAGTGAATTACTGCAAAAAGGTTAAAAGGTTCGTTCATAAATTGATCAAACAATGACACACAATGCGCGAACTGTTGAGGTGCCGCTACAATAAATAGTTACAAATAAAGAGATTGTTCAGTTGTCGTAATAACTAACTGTAAAGAATTTGGTAAGCGCTGTTCATTTATGTCAGCCAGCGCTGATCATTCAAAATTCACGATTCCCTGTTACGCTGTTAATGCTAAATGCCCAAGTGGAATCGTCGACTCCCCACCCGTGTTTTATCAAATTCTTTGTAAATATGCACTACTCTTCCAAGTCGTTAACGTACTGAGCTTTTAAGGGGATATGGGGAAAAAATCGTTAGGACAAAACAAAAATTTGTTCGAACGAAAAAAATTTAGCTGCCTGACGTGATCGCACGTGCGTAGTTTGGCAAGCCTAACGTTTCAACAGCAACCTGTTCGGTGTTTTCACGTGACAAAAAAGTACAGACGGAACGCAGCCTTCTCCGCTGCGTCTCCTGCACGTTTGGTTTCATGTCCGAACTAGCATGCGACCCCGAAGGCAAGTTCTGTAATTAGGGGTATTTTAAACTATTTCTGTGACGTCGCTGCTTTGTTCAAAGTGTAGATTATTTTTACGAATCTACAGCAAACTGTGATTCGTAAGTTACGAGTCTACACTTATTGTTACAAAACAATTGCTGTAGATTCGTTACGCGTCCACGGTAAGTGCGACCGGAGGATTGGGTTATGGAGTAACATCACGCTGTTCTGCCTTGAGACTGATTCTGCTGGGCCTCGTAATTACTACAGTTAACAAATTTAAGAGATACCGGGAACACCACACTCCGGCCTTATTGTGTGCGTTTGCTTTTCTCTATAGAAAACCACATAGATTGTTTTTCCTCATGTTTTCTAGGTCAATGATTTCTAAAGCAAAATGTTCAACAAGGATTTGAATTTTCTCTTCACCTTTCAATAAGGAATTGATTTGATGTGTTTTGGCTGCTTTTCTGTGTCTAGGTTTGCCCACTCTTTTTTCATAATGTTGGATTATAGCTTCATTCAATTGACACAAACTCGGGTACATCTTCTAGTTGTTCCAAGATCATACCGGTCCTGAGGTGACTGATCTGTCAGAATTGCTTCTGCACGTAAACTTGTGTCAGGAAATGGAAAAATGTATAATTTGTGTGGGTTTAATATCTTACATTTCTTATTCTGCTCCCCTCGTTCCCGGGATACTTTTCAACCTTATGCAACCCAAACGGAGCTATCTGTGGTATGCAATGGTGGAGGTCATGATGTTTACCTCACTTCCTAACCCAGTTCATTGTTTTAGGGGAACTTTTCC